AAGTTTTATGTACAGTAGAACACGATTAATATGATCACTGCTCCCGCTGTTATTTTTTCTAAGCGAGTATGTTAAAAATTATGTTAAAAAACTATTTCTGGAAAGCTACCTCTAGAAAATTCAGTGAGATTAGTAGTGCTTAGCGCGTAGAACGAAAAACTCCTATTTAGTCGTTTTTATGGAAGCCTGCTTCCTTTGATAGAAAAGATCGTGGTGTTTTGGCTTGAGGAGCTTTTGTAGAAAAGTTATGACTATCAGATCCTTGCTAATGAAGAAACTGCCGTGACTTAAAAAATAATGCTAAATTTGTTTTTTGTTTCAGATGTCAGTCCCTACTCTTCTTACTACTCGTCCTTCACGTATTAATCAAAAATTTTGCCTATTACATTTTGGCGATACAATGTACAAAATTGTACCATTTGATGAATGTGTATTTTATGATGATGATGATCAAAGTATATCGTATAAACATCAACATGATTTAAAATTAATTAAAACAGATGAGTTTGTTCACATCATTAGTATTTTCAAGCATTGCCTGCTCAAAATTTTCAGGAACATAAACTAAGTAAGCAGTAGCTCCTAATTTTAAAATTGACTCCTGGTTGAATAAACTTTCTAATAGAATTTACGTTAAACAATTCAGAATTTTCAATGAATAGCAGTCATTTCACATACATTCTCTTCTATTTATGTGTTTAGGCTTTAAAAATGAATGTAAAAAAGCTCTTAAAAGTATATTGAATGTAACTAGCGAATATGTCTTTGACAATTCAATAAGTTCAAAAGAAAATTTACCACCATTATCACAGCAAGCACAAGAATCACAAATTAAAAGTAATGTAGAATGTACAAGTTCTATCAATATTATTATACCATTTCTTTCGTTCTAACCTTTTTAGTCCGAAAACAAAGAAGAACAAAAAAAGGAGATCCCACTAATGCTGGTGATAAAAATTCAAAACAAAGTCAAGGTCTTCAAGTCATTTTTGGTAAGTGAATAAATTTTGAAAAAATTCAAAAAGGGAATAAGCCAATATTAATCTCGAAATCAGGGTCGTTATTCATAGTATTGCATGTGATCTAAAGGATAATATAGGCTAGACTAGCTACGCTAATAACCGATGTTAAAGGATTTTTCGTTGATCTGTGACGAACTAAGGTTCAAATTTCTCAAATATGAACTACGACATCATGTGCCAAGATGCTCCTTAATTATCTTTCGGAATTACATTAATAAACTAGCAGGAGAATAAGCTTGAACCATTCATGTACAAACGTTGCAGGCACCGACGTTTTTCTTATCATTTCAGACTAGACGAAAACGCAGTGTCTGTTTGTTTTAACAAAGCACTTATTTCTGAAAGTGGTGTGAAGACCGCTTTTATATTTGAACCTTTTTACAGTTTATATCTGCTTTTTAACTTTCCAGAATTAGCATTATGTTCCAGAACAGAAAACCGGGTAAAACATGGTGAAATCAGTATGTCAATTACCCTAAGAAACACTTTATTTTGATAGACCTCGTGTCAAAAGTTTTTCTTTTCTACTCTGTCTTTATATAGAAATCGCTACATAAGAGTTCACCGACGTTAAGATAAATTGTTTGTTGGATTTCAAAATATAAAATGTTCGATTAACTCTTTTTAAAAAACCCCTTCTGATTTTTTGCTCAAACTGGAAAATCCTTCGCTACTTGAAAAACCAAAAACGATGTTTCCCTAAGCCAAATGCGTTTAGGAAAAAACCCTTCTGCTTTTTACCAAAGCTAGAAAACCCTTCAACTCTTTCTGAAAAGATCCTTCTGAGGTTTTTCGTCAAACAGAAAAATCCTTTTGGTTTTTAAATACGCTGTTTTCGGTTTAGGGTGATAAAAAAGTCCTTACTTGCCGAGGACTCTCACAAAGTACTTCTTTGCAATAAAAGCAAGTATTTTTACCATTGAGAAGTATTTCTGAAAGTGCATGGCAAGTGAGAAATTTTGAAAACACTTGCCAATTTTCCCAAGTACTTACCAAGCACTTAGCAAGTAATCAAATACTTGCATCAAGCACGTTCTCTAGGGATAACTCCGTCAAATTAACTCGTATCCCCTCGAAATTTTTACACCAGGTAGGCTGTGCAAGCACTGATTACTGTGAAAGTTTTAGCTCTCTAGCACGTTCCATTCCCAAGTTATAAGGTTTCCTATTATAGTAGAGAAAATACGGAGATGACTTTTTTGGACAAAAAAAATTGATTAAACTGCGTTTTTTAAGAAAGTGAGTTTTCCGTGCGCCTAGGAAAAATATGCGATTTTCTGAAAATCCGAATTAACTCAATTTTTTTCGTCTTCAAACCGAAAACGAACATCCCCACGATAATCATCGCACTAGATTACCTATGTGTCGATATTTTTTAGTTGAAAAACGCCGAAGTCCCCGAAAAAGTGGCCATTTTTGAAACGCTTATAACTCGGCGAGGAAGCAAAATTTTGGCGGTTGCTTAGATACCATCCGAAAGGAGACCTCTCGCTCTACAAAACTGGCGAAAAAAAATAAAAACAAATTTTTTCGGAAAACGTCCTGTTTTTCCGAACCCTGTTATTATAATAACCCAGTTGTTATAATAACCCAGAAAGTTATTTTGGACATGTTTCAGTTTTGCATAGGTTTATGTACCCTGATGTCCTCTTTCGATTACCGAAAACCACAGGTCGCTAGCTCTTTTCAGTAAAAAGTTATAAGCGTTTTGCTGAGTAGCCTTTCTTCAAAAGGTCGATAATAGGCGAGTATAGAATTTAAATTCATTGTATTGAAACAGGAACAAACTAATTTTTCTATAAAAATATTGTATTCTTTTGTTGTTGTGTCTACTATATTCTCTTGCATTTAGAGTCACAGCTACTCTCTCTGTTTGGAACGTGCTAGAGAGCTGAAACTTTCAGAGTAATCAGTACTTGCACAGCCCGACCTGGTGTAAAATTTCAAGTGGATACGAGTTAGTTTGACGGAGTTATGAATTTTTGTATTTTTCTCGATTACCGCTGGGAAAAACAGAAAAAGTGCTCTAAGTTTTGAAGAAAGAGCCATGGACAAAAATCCTTTTAGACTTTTTACTATCTTGATATATGCTATAGATCGGCATATGTTCGAAGAAAAACTGAGACGGACATTTCCCTAGGTTCCCTCGTAAATCTTAAAATTATAACACTTATAATGCATTTTTCATCATTGTATAATGATACCAGAATACCAATGTATACA